GTTTGTATCTGTAAATATAACAACATTTTATTAGTATGCAACACTGATTTTGAATTAGTCATTCAAACCTTTGAAATGTTATTTAAATAACTGTAATTTTCCATCTAGATACAGCTAACTTCTGATAACTTATGTCTGTAAGTTGTTTAAACAGTTAATTTCTATTTTATTTACTTTACTTACCTGTGTTTGTCGTATAAGGTGTCGTATTGATGAGGTTTTTGTTGAAGTTTTATATTTTCTTCAGAGTGATGAAGTTTTGTCTTGAATGCAGTTCTGTTCACTCTCCGTGTTCTCTTTCCCTCTAAGTAAAGTGATGCTGAAACATCCTGTCTTTCCTGTTTAACTCCACCTCTTACTGCAGGTGAACTGGTTTTGTTTTATTTGTTATGTTTGGTTAAGGCGAGGACCCAAATGCAAGGCAGATTTAGAGTTTTGGTGAAGTTAAGTAGTTTTTATTCTAAAAAAGCAGCTGAGGCGACGACGATGATGATGAAGATGGTGATGATGAGAGGGTTGAGGAGCAAGGGTGAATGGCTTATTGAAGGTGGTTAGTGGAGAGCTGGTAGATGGCTGGTTGGTTGGCTGGCAGGCTGGCATGCAGGCGAGGTATTATCCTTTAGAGCTGGGATGAGGGTAGCCACACTCACAACAAACCCAGAGAGACAGGGAAAAAAACTAAATGCAGGAGTACAGTCATGGCCAAGACATTATTCCCTTCTTCAGATTTGGACAGGATTATAGTGGCATGAAACTGGCACAGTATAAATTTACCTTTTTTAATTTGCATTACAAAACTAGACATTTTTTAGTTTTTTGAGATATCCTGCTACAGTAAGTAACAGACACACAGGACCAAAATCACAACTGAATACAGAGGATTTACCCAAATTTTTTCACTTTTATTACATGACATTCTTTCAATGTAAAAACAATGCAAAATTCTGTCCTATTCATAAAAGGCTCTTTAGAAAATGTGTCCATCCAACATTTAATAGACACTAGACAACACTCCAATTATATATATGAACAATACTGATACAGTAATAAAAAACATTTTAATTTATCACAGAGTCGTTGCCACGAGTGTTTCTCGTTCTTGATTATATATTTATTCTGTAAAAAATAATTGCAGTTATCAGAGTAGAATTGATTGAACTTGACTTGAATTAATTACTGGATAGCAACCAAATCCCAAAATATAATGCTATCAAGCTAATTCTAAACTACATGTCCTGTTGCTAACATGGTAACAATTCCTGCTAATGTTCAAAGATGCTACCTTGAATTCTAGAACAGGGCTGCTGAAGAAATATGTTGTTGCACACCTGCTTTATACGTTCCTGAGACACTGTGTCAACACAACTGCGTGTCTGCTTCTTTTGATTTATTTAAAGGGTTATTCAAAGGGTCCAGTGTCTAACGTTAAGCAGGATCTATTGACAGAAATAGAATATTACATTTACAGCATTCAAGTAAGTTCTTTAGAAAATCAATTCATTAGTCAAATACGTGTTATGGGCAGGAGAGATTATCAGAGGGGCAGAGTTTCTTCCACCATCATTAACACATGGACTGAAGTATGGATAGAGTTTCTCTGTGAATTTACAGCCAGTAAAGGAGAAGATAAGATCTGCAGCATCCACATCATAAAAAGAGACCAGACCTTCCTCATAATCCACAAACACTCCCACCTTCTGAGGTTTAGACTTCAGTGAGAGACAGACAGGAGGGCTGGTGTTAGCATGATATACATTTCCATTTCTCAACCACACAGTCCAGTATCCATTTCTGGGGCAAACTTTAATTTCTCCCTTCCTGTTGATCGACTCTCTGGCCACTCCTAAAGTCCAGTCAGTCTTCCCTTTAACCTGAACCTCATAGTAAAATCTTTCTGAAGAGAAACTTTGATTTCCTAACACACCACAACACGAGGTAAATCTCTTTGCGTTGTCTGGAAGATTCTGTCTTACATCACCATGAGTTACTCGTTTCCCATCGCCAGACAAAATGAGTTTAGGATAAGCTGTTTCTGGATTGAGAGTCACATTCACTGCATACTGCTGGACCCTCTTCAGCTCGGCCTCAAACAGTTTCTTCATCTCTTTACTGAGTGTCTCCTCCAGCTGAGCCACAGCTCTCCTCAAAGTCCCCTCATATGATGAGTGAACTCTGACCTCTGTCCAGTCCTTGGTGGGAGGAACAGTGTTCAAAGATGGGAAGCTTTGGAGGAAGTAGAGGTGGTCCTCTGTGCTCGAGAGTTGCACCAGCTCAGAGCTTCTCTTCATCAGCTCAGAGATCTCCATTTCTACCTCTTTGATGAAGCCTTCAGCCCGCTTCTCCGTTGTTTTCCTCTTCCGTTCAAACAAGTCAATGAGCTGAGCCAGACTTTCTTCGACAAACTGTGTAATATTAGAAAAAACCTGCACACTGTCTGCTAGCTCTCTATCGGTATCTTTCTCGCTGAGCTCCTCTGAGTGTTTGAGCTCCTGAATCTTTAATTGTCTCTCGTGAATCATCTGCTGAATTTTAGCCTCTGTCATCCTAAGTTTTGCTTTCTTTTCTTCATATTCATCTTTCAAAGAAACAATATGATGTCTCTTGTGACCTGACTCAGTGCAGAACTGACACACACATATCTGGTCAGCTTTACAGAACAACTCCAGAGGTCTATCATGCTTCTTACACATCCTGCTTTCCAGGTTCTTCACAGGATCTATTCGCTTATGTCTCTTCAGGCCTGGGA